AGCAAGTTGTCAGTGTATAATTTCTGTAAACATACATGAAAAAATAAAAGTGAGTGTGTCAAGATGTGAATAGTAACTAGTAACTAATAGAGGAAATATGAGTAGTTAGTTTTCTTGGACTTTGACGCATTTATTCTATTTGAAAGAATAGCTCTTTGCAAACATACTTTATACATACCCACATAATAATAGGAAAATGGGGAGTGTAGGAGCTTTGTACCAATTCTGGAGGTGATTTGGAAAGGCAGAGGCAGCCATATTTGACAGAAGTGTGGGTGTGATGGAGAGATCATAGACTTGAGAGTCCTCCACTGCACATTCCCTGTGTGACCTTTCCTATGTGATTTTGAGTGAGATAGCCTCTTGGAGACTCGGTTCCCTCATCTATAAAGCAAGAACACAATTTTCACCCCCGATTTTCAAGAGGATCAAATCAAGAACTTGATATACCTGGTTTATATGTGTGCTGCCAAAATATAAGAATTTGTTTCCTCCCTTAACTCAGGACTGTGAATGACTATAATTTAACTATGAGTTTTGCCAAACTGTTAATAAGGTTATAAAAGATATGCTGGCATGGAGCACCTACACAGTATCTGCTGAATATGTTTGGGGAAAAAAACAACACATACTACAACGCTTTACCTACCACTCAACACATTGAGCTCTGTATCTTCCTCTGTAAAACTGATAAAGTAATCCCTTGTTGAGTACACACACACACACACACACACACACACACACACACACACACGGTATACTCTGTCCAGTTCTACTAATTTGTTACTTGTGGTTTATTTATTAGGTTGTAACCATCTTCTTCATTTACTATTATTTAATCCATTAACTCTGACTTAGGCTGAAGGGCAACTACTTAAGGAGAACATGTGATGCCCTACTACAAAGGCTAAGTAGGTACACAGGAGTGTTTATATAAACATCCTTTTTCAGGGGTAGTTTGTCCATCAGAAAGCACTTTCTTTTCCACTCTTCTCACTCCCCCTCAGGTATCTGTCCACCCCCGCTACCATCAGCACTTCAGAAGACAGGTTTTTAAGTTTTAAATACACTTCATTTTCTAGGGCAATTTCAGATATACAAAAAAAAACACCCTGATTAATGGGGCCGAAGTATTAGAACATTTGTGTGGCACATGCAGAGCTCTGGGTCTGATACCTCCACTTGGTCATACATTACAGGAGTTTTATTGATTTGTATCTAATGTTATTTGTCCAGTTTAATCTTTACTGACAACTTGATCAGGTTTGGAATCAGCAAGGAGACAAAGCTCTGGGTGTGTTTGTGAGGATATTTCTAGAGAGATTTACTAGAGCTGGGAAGACTCACCCTAAATGTGAGCAGCACCATCCAATGGGCTCCCCACGAAGACTGACTGTATTCCCCCAAACTGTGAGCTGTAATAAACCCTTCCTTCTTTATCTTGCTCCTTGATAGATACTTAGTCACAGAAATGAGAAAATTAACTAATACATCTCTCTGAACTCTCACACATGATACTGTATTACCCTGGGTCTTATCTCTTTGGGTACTTCCTGGTTGGGTCAATTTCCCAGGCAGCCTTTGTTTTGATGGCCTTGACATTTGTAAAGGCAACTCCCCAGGACTTTTGTGCAATGTCTTTTGGTTGAATTTCAACTGAAGTTTTTCTCATGGTTAGATTGGGGTCATAAATTTGGGGGAGGGAAAGCCCGAAAGTAAAGTGCTGTTTTCATCACATTATGACAAGGGTAAAGACTATGGGCCTGACCATTGATAATGCTGGGACTTTTAAAGGAAAAGTTTGTTTTAAAGCTATTTCATTTTTATTGGGTTTTTGCAAACTTCATGCAATATATTTTGATCCTATTTGGATCCCCTTCCTTATCTGCACCACACCTTACTAAACTCCTGCCCAATTTCATGTACTCTAATAGATATGTATATATCCTACAGAGTCAAATGTGTGTCCTCAAATACCTTCAGTGTGGGTCCATCCACTGGAGCCTGGCTAACCTATCAAGAGTCTCACCTTTAACTAGGACTGACTCTCCCACTCCTAGCAGCCTTCAGTTGATGGCTCCCAGCAATTCCTCAGGTAGGGTTGGGTTTTCTTAGCTACTTCCTCACATCTATGCTGGAATTTTGTCTGCCTTGAGCTTATATGGAACCCGTCCATGCTGTCGCCATTGCTGTGCGTTCCTATGAGTAACTGCCCATCTATCTGGAAAACTCTGTTTTCTGTGGTCATCCACTGCCTATGGCTCTTACAATCTTTCTGTCCCCTCTTCTGCAATGATCCTTGAGCCTTGAGAGGCAAGGCGCTTCATTTTTGACCATGGTCTTTGGAAGGAAGTGATGATTGTCAGAGTGTACTTTAGAAGTAGGAGTTTCCATCTCCCTTTTTGAGGATAAAGAATCTGCTTAAGTTATTTGTGTTCTTCAACATGAGGGATCTATCTCTACTTATGTACTCAACAGTAGCTTTAATTTTTGGAGAACTTAAGGTAAAAGTTAATTGGCTCCAAAATATCCCTTCTTAAATCCAGAATAAAAGTGTTAAAAGATTCTAATTTTTTGTGTTGATACTCAATTTGAACAATTAGTATATGTAAGTTTCTCAGTCTGCTAAGGATATAAAGATGACTGAAAAAACATCTTTTTAATGAAGTCACCCTGGGGACCAGACAGAACTGGCAACATGGCAAATATGTTCAGCCACTTTTGAATTACTTTGGTAACACAGAGAAGATAGGGATTTGGTCAAGGAAAGCCTGGTGTATGAGGCCTGAGGCGAGGCTAGTTCCCTAGGTGTACAGCCCATAGAGTTCCATAGGGGCTCACATTTGAGGTTTAAGGCTCTTCGTAGCCCTCTTGAAATTCTTAATAACGTATCTTTGAATTTCAAGGCCGACAGGCTAATGAAGCATGTCCTGTTATCCTTAGCTCTTGAGTAATCCCACTTGTGCTTCCTCCCCACCTTAGTGTGGCAGCTAAAAAATTTGGTCCCAGCTCCATGACACTGTGTCTCCCCTCAAACCTTGCCCTCCCTGGCCTAACCTCACCACCACTGCTACCTTCTTCCCAGAGTCATGACCAGGTAGATAAGGCTGTTGTTGGGAAGGCCCAGGTTATCCTTCTACCACCTCCCCTCTATAGCCTGCAGACTCTGGGGGGACCCACATGAGCCTCTCGTTTCTCTAGCCACTCTAGAGAAAGGTTGTACTCTACTACAGGGTCACCTGTCACTGTAGGGTGGTACAGTTGTCTTGTAGGAAGGACAGGTGAACTTGATCATCAACAGAAATGTGACTTTCAGCCCAGGAGCTAAAGGCCACATTGCCTAAGTAATGGAATAACAACTAAATAGCTGATTTTAAAATCCCACCATAACTAGACAAGAGAGAGAATGCAGAAGAAAAGGGAAGCTTTATATTTTAGTTCTTTTAACTGCACTGTCGTCTTTTAAAAAAATATTTTATTTATTACTTTTATTTTAGTATATGATTGTATTTCCTGCATGTGTGCAAGGGAACCTGTGTTGTGCAATGCCCATGAAAGTCAGAAGAAGGTGTTGGATTCCCCTGAAACTGAAGTGATGAACAGTTATTAACTACCATGTGGGTGCTGGGAATTGAACCCATGTCCTCTGCAAGAGCAGTCAGTGCTCTTAACCACTGAGCCACCTCTCCAGTCCCTTGTTTCTTGTCTTTTGAACCACACTTCTGTGTTACACTCATCCCCACAAATAAGGTCAGTCTTATCATGGGAGATACCAAAGAGCACAGTCAAGAATACGTTTTCTAGAATCAGAATGCCTGGGTTCAATATAGGGAGAGAAAAGTATCCTTTACCCTTTCTATCTCATCAGATAGAATGAGATTGTGTCTGTAAAGCTGTCATCAGTGAGAGACCTTTCAGGCCCTGCCTCCATTCTACAGCTACCCTGAGTTTCTCCTGGATCCTGAAGGGGGCAGCCTTTCTTTCTTATAACTTCTGTATACCCCCTTGTCCCTCCCCAACACTGAGAACATTATTGATTTCATCGCCCATCATACCCAGCAGAGCCTTGAGGCACTGGCTGAGTTTATGAATATGCACAAAGAAATGCTTCTCCAGTAGAACACTTCCAGCTAGAACCATTAACAAGGCACTCTGGAAGAATCGACATCATGCCTACAGAAGGTTAAGTCAGCTTTTTTTTTTTTGCTTTGTTTTATTTTGTTTTATTGAAAACAGGATCTCCTAGATGGTCTGGAACTTGCTGTGAAGACCAGGTTGACCTTAGTCTCATAGAGATCTGCTTGTGTCTGCTGCTCTAGTGCTGGGATTAAAGGCATGCACTACCATGTACCATTAATAAATATTCTTAAAACTGAGAGTTTGCAGTAATAAGCTTGGTAAATAGTACATACACACCCCATTTAGAATAATCCAACATACATTATCATTTTATAGGACTTAAAAATTTCTATTTAAAAATAAGATTTTAAAAATTCGATAAAATGGTGCACCCCCAAGTTTCCCAAGCACATGGATTGTGGAACAATAGCTGTTTTCTAGAACATAGTTTGAGGTTAATCTCTTGGGGAAAAAAGAATGATATCTTATTTATTACCCTACATTCATACCTAGAATAGAATCATTAATTTAGTGAATAAAAGTTAAATTAATGGCTCTTTCATTTTGTTTTGTATAACCAGTAAATATGGTCATACTGGACACACATTTAAGCCTCTTATAAAACACATGATCTTAATGCAAAATTCTAGTTGATGGTGTTGGTGGCAAGGCAGGTCTTACCAACAAAGAATTATGAATGGAGAAACTAAGGTTCAGGGAGATGAATGACTTAACAAAGCTTCATAGTTGGTTCATGTTAGTACCTGGGTTGAAATCAAGTCTTCTAATTCCAGACCCTCTGTTTTTCCTCGAATATAACCAGAAGATAACAAAGCTATGATTATGTCATTGTCTGATGCACACAGGAACAGAGCACATACCTCAAACAAGCGCAGGACCTTGGCCAACGCACCAACCTCTTCTCTGAGTGAGAATATCAGTGACACGGCACCATTTTGACTGGAGCTGTCTTCAATATAGCTTGTTTCCTGCAGAATAGAACACTTGGTTAAAAACATTTTTGCAGCTTATTGATTCATTCTCTTGAAACCTCCAAGGAAGGGTCAAGCATGATTTTTTTTCCTTCTCGTTAAACTTTTGAATGTATATTCTATGTGGAAGGTAGTCAAAAATAAATAAGTTGAAGACAATGCAATAATAAATGGTACTCCTGGGTCAACTTTCAATTTCAAGCTTAAATTATTCATCAGTGTCACTAGTCAGTGGCAAAACCTCAGCAACTTTTAATTAGCACCTACCAAGCACCAAGCACTATTCTCATGTCTTTGAGAGATACAAATCTGAGGCAAGTGTTCCCATCTTGGGACTAAAGAGATGGCTCAGTGCTTAGGAGTACTGACTGCTCTTGTAGAGAACCTGGGTTCAGTTCCCAGTACCCACATGGTGGCTAACAACCATCTGTAACTTCAGTTGCAGGGGATCTAGTACCCTCTTCTGGCCTCAACAGGCATTACATGCACAGGAGTACATGCAGGCAAAACATTCAAACACATAAAATTACAAATAAATAAGTAAAATTCTTAAAAATGTTCCCATCCTTACAAAGCTAAAATTTTGATTAGTAGATACACATACAACAAGCCAAGAGATTCTTTTTTAAAAAATATTTCATTTATTATTTTTATTTTATGTGTGTACATGTATTGCCTGCATGTAGGTGAGTGCACCCATGTCGTGCAATGCCAGCGGAGAACAGAAGAAGCTGTTGGATCCCCTGGAACTGGAGTTACAGACAATTGTTAGCCACTATGTAAGTGCTGGGATTCAAACCCAGGTCTTCTGCAAGAATAGTTGGTGTTCTTAACCACTGAGCCATCTCTCCAGCCCCAAGAGATTCTTAGAAATAATATAATATGGTACAAAAAAATCCTAGGAAAGTATTGGGAGACAAATTTGAAAAACAATAAAAATAATAGAATATTTGTAGGCTTTGGGTCAAAGACCTGGGTTTAGTTCTCTCTCGCCATTTACCACCTGCACTGTCTTGGGAAAATCACTTCATTTCTTCACCTATAAAAAGAATATTAAGACTAAGCCCTGACAAAATAATATTCAGAAGTTGCAAAGGAAAATATAAGTTTAAATAGAATATTAATCTACTGTAAAATGATGTAAATATTACTGCATATACACAAATGATCTCAGTTTTTGGCAAAAATTTCAAGAAGCATCAAATTGTCCCCATATGCTGGGATCTGAGATATCTAATTGCTGATAAAGACTCAAAATAATATATAAAAGTACACTGACCTTTCAGAAGATGAATGCCATCAATGAGGCAGCAAAGAATGTCAAAGACTTAGCACTCATGGAAATGAGTGGAATTAGCATTGGAGAGTTTGCTAAATAGTTCCCTAAGTTTTAAAATAGTGCAAAGTGTTCTTTATGTGCCCACCAATACATAGCATGCCCCTGAAAAGGAGAAAGTCACAGAACAATTACTCCCTTGTAAGCAAGTTAATAACATTTATGGCATTTGTGGAGGCTTCCCCTTCTCAAGAACAGAAAACAGTGATGGGAAGATTCTGGCCAGGGACTTAAAATAATAAGTCCCCAAAGCACTAGAGAGAGCACGGGAGACTCTTGGGACAAAATTCTTTCACTTCAGAAGTTCATGTCTCCCCAGCGTCTTATATAAAGCAGGAAGAGCCAAATTTATCAGCAAGTTGGATGGTAGGAAGTTTCAAACTAATTAGAAGACTGTACTGTTTGTTATGTATCCCTATCTGTACTATAGTATCACCTTTCGGTAAAAACATACGTGTTATTTATTAAGAGATTTTAAAGTTCCAGATTTTATGTTCAGCATTTGATTTGGATTATCTCGTTTAACTTCCAAAGCCACCTAGGGGGTGGGTTTATTATGTCTCCACTTCCACTGGTGCCAAGATTCAGGCTTAGAGAGGCAGAGTAATCGGGGCTAGGGAGATAGCTCAGTCATATACTTATAATCCCAACACTGGGGAGACAGTGACAGGTGAGTCCCTGAGGCTTGCTAGCCAGTCAGCCTTGCCTACTTGACAAGTTCTAGACCAGTGAGAGACCCTACCTCAATAAGAAAGGTGGATAATGCCCAAGGATCGACACCCACACACACTCATGGCTAAGTAACTGGCATATAATTCCAGTTAGCATTGGCGATAGAGTCTGAACTGAGTCATTGGATCTCTGCATATTGACCATGAGTCACAGCCTATTTTACTGCTGCCCCTCTCTCTTCTAAGACCTGCCAGACATGTGCAGATGAGTCTGGCTTCAGTCTGTTTTTGCTACCAGAGAACACTGAGCCCTCAGTCCTTTCCGGTTTCCCTGAAATGACAAAGGGCTTCCCTGTTTTCAGCTCATTTGGCAATTTTCTTCCTCTTGTTGACCTCCAAGAGAAGTGAGATATTCTTGATATACCTCAACAGATGTCACCTTTGACTAGGGCAATTTAGTATTGTAAACACCTGTAACAGAAACCCAATCACGCCCTCCACCACCCCGGCCTTGTGTGTGTCTAGCCAATTGCCAAATCCAATGTCATCTTCAGTGACTCAAACTATTGGGTCATTTTGTTGTTATGTTTGCTACTGCCATCACATGAATCCGGTTCTTAGTGGTCCACATTGATCCTGTCTTAACAGGGCTTTGCCTGTGTCCTTCATTTTCAAAATCATTGTCAGTGATTTTTAATCATGGAGAATTTCAAAACCACTGACCAATATATAATCTGTGTCCTTAAATTATAACTTTCCATACAACTATAGTAAATTTATTGTATAATATGGAAATACTTTTGATAGTTGTTACTCTCAGTATTAGTGCATGCCCCTGGGTGGGTGGGTACCCCTACTTACAGGAACCATACTGGGCACTTTCACAGCTAATACACATTGTTGTCTTTGGCAGCAACTACCACTATTTATAGGGTTTACCTGGAACAGATCATTCAGTGCTCATAAGAGCCATGAGGTAGGTGCTGGTGTTTCACAAATAAAGAAATAGATTCAGTAAAGTTAAGTGGCTAGTTCTAGAGAGCTCAGCCAATGAGTAGCTGAGCTCGGACTAGAACGTGGGTTCAGTAACCTCAGTGTTGTTATTTTACTTCCCAGTGACAAACTCACCTGAGATAATCGCTCCTTCTTTTCAAAGCCCAAACAAGTTTACCTGAAAGGAAGCTTAGGGAAGTGTGTGAAATGGTATAGGTCTCGGTGGATCTGAATTCCAGATTCATCCAGTCAATCGTGAGTCCTTGAACAAATTTAATAGTGTATTTTTATACAACAAAAGAAGTTATAGCTTATGTATTTCTAATAGGCATGTGAATTGACTTCCAAACACACATGAGAAGTAAAAGTTAGAGAAAGTATCTCAGAAACCATCTATGAAAGAGCACAGTGGAGAAAAGAACTAGGAACCACTTAGTGAAGAACTCAGGTCATTAAGCAATGTATTCAACAATGAAAATACAGTATATTACCTTCAGCTGTGCATTGAAGACAAATGCATTCTGCTATCTTTGGACACAGGTACATTTCAAGGTTACAAGCAATGCACTGCAGTCAGGATATTCTAGGGCTATTAACTTTCAATCTTGGTGATCTGGGGGTTTTCTAGAGGAGGTGTGGTTATAATTCCCCTGTGTACATCTACACTAGAAACTACTGAAAACAAGATGCAAACATCCTGGGTCATGTATCTCTGTATAGTGGAGCATAGACACAGTGTATCTCTGTATTTCAGCATTCTCCCACAGGAAGAAACTGCTGCAATGCAATGTGCACGTGGCTAGAATCAGATTCGATTTAAACACTGGCTTCCCTGTTTATATTTGTTATCTTGGAGCTTTCCTTTTATCCTGTTACTCTGATTTTTCTTCATAGCACTTGCTATGAAGCTATATTACGTATTCATTTTAATTATTTTATCATTTATCTCCTGTACTGGAATGGTTTTAATAGAGGAAGAACACTGGTGTGCCTAGCACATAATAGGTGCTTTTCATTCTGTTGGGTGAATGAAATCTTCTCCTATAGGCCTATTATGTAACGTTTTGACATATCATATACACTCAGCAAATGATGAATCCTTTTTGTCATCTTCCTTTTATTATAATTAGGCCAAATGTGTGCTGTTTATCTGGGTTGGTAGCTTTAAGAAGACATAAATTTGGAGCCAGTGAGATGACTCAAAAGCGAAGGCACTTGCTGCCAAGCCTGATAACTTGAGTTCAATCTCTGGGAACAATATAGCATACAGAGAGAACTGACTTTCTCAAATTCTCCTCTGACTTCCACATACACTTCGTGGCCCATGCCCCCCTCCTCACACAGGCAAAAAAATATTAAATGTAATTTAACAGTTGTAAAAGGAAGACGTGAACTTGTCTCCTTTGCAAACCACCAGAGCTAGAAGGCATCCCAGCTACTAACCTAGTCCAACATCCCACCTCAATTTTACAGATACTAAACAATCTTCTGGCCCCAGTCAATCGACTTTCCAATACATAGGCTAAGTACCCAAAGATGAGAACTCTGGTCTTGACTGCATGTGTGGCTGACTTCCCATAAGCAGCTATATCAGACATAGCATCTACCTTATTGTTTGGCGTTCCTGATGCTGTTCAAGATACATTTTTGTTAAACAAACAAACTACTTTTGGCTAGTTGCCATTGGAAGTTTAAAATTTTCTAAGAGTTTTAGTAAGAGATTTATAGACAATGTTTCCTTTATTTCTCATCCTAACCCTAAGACATGAGGATTTTGACTGTGACTAGTAATAATCAGATACATAGAGATATAAGACACGTGCAAACATCTAAGCGTTAGTAGCATTAAAAATGTTAGAATCAACATATTTTAAAATGAAATGGAGATCTTCTTTAAAGGTTAAAAACTCATTCAATTTTATGGCTTACAGGGTTTACACTGAGTTCAATATTGTGTAACTGTATTAATTTAATTGTGAACCTAAAACTTTTACAGCCACTTTTGAAAGAGATATATCCTTGCTCTGGAAATTATTATTGAGTATGTTAAAGCTGTAATGAAATGCTTCTTCTAATCTTGTGGTTATTAAATAAAAAATTAATAAATAAAATTAAAATTATCTTTCAAAGGAAAATGCTGCTTTGGATGCTGAAGTTGTACAAGGGTGTGGTTGGACCCTCTTTTTTTTCTAGTTTCCCTGCCATGGTAGTAACAATTTGTAGATTCATAATCATCTAAGTGTTTTATAAATAAAGCTTTAAGCCTCTCCTCCTGAGTCCCCACCCCTAGATCACTGTCCTGACCTCCTCTTATGGTTGCAAGGGCTCTACTGGCAGCGAACAGAAGCCTAGTAAAGGGTGGAGTCAGGATCTGTGCAACAATCTACGATCTACCAAATCTCTTCAACATTGAATCTCTGACACCCAGGCGTCCCTCAGTACCATCAGAGGAAACTTTCTCCACAAAGGGCGTCTTCCCTAATCCAGGATGTGCTGCCTACTACAGATTCTGCAGCCTCTCCAAGTGTGCTGACTTTGGCATCCACTCTCCTCTACTGTTCTGAACCATCCAGCTCTCTATAGACAATGGCTCTCCCTGGTCCTGCACATGGCAGGTGTCTACAGACTCACATTATCTCTGAGATCTGAATCTCAGAATGATTTCCCACCTGGGACAAGTACATAAATCAAGATAAAGAATGTGCTCTGCAACTGTTCACCCAGAGAGGTCTGTAAAGCCTGAAGCAGAGAGTCCCTCCACCTCCAGCATTATCCCCCAGGCACATTCAGGCTTGGGGCTAGCTCTTGTTCATTTTCCTCTTTGTTTACTTCCCCTCCTCAGATCTGAGTAAGTCCCCAAATTCTCTCCATCCCACCTCTTTTCCCAAAAATAAAAGGAAGATATTTTCTTACACCTTATCATTTCCATACTCAGCTCAACTGTACAAATATCTCAGAAGAGTTCAAAACAGCTCTGCCTCCCATCCTAGGACCAGCCTTTCTGGGCACAGAAGAGAAAGCATATAGCAAAGACAAAAACTGAGTTATACAAAGACACATAGATGGCTGGTGACAGCTCTGACAGTCAGATCCCTGATCCCTCCTTTGAAACGTCAATGGGCAGATACACTTCCTCTTGGAAGCCACTGTTGAAGACAGTCTTGACTTCCCGGGCATTTTCATCATCTTAATATGAATTAGATTCCTTGGTGGGCTTAGGAAACTAGGAAATATCAATATTTCTCAGACCTCTTTCATGGCTGAGAAACCAAACTTCTTTTCCAGCAGCAAAGGCCCACCTGCCTCACCTGTCCAAAATCTGATAGCTTTCTGGCCAGGGCTCGGTTCTCCAGGAACACAGCCGACATGCTGGCTCCCAGTGATTGAAGTCTCTTGCGGTTGGAGCAGGCTCAGCCAGGTTTGTGCTCAGCACGTGGGGCTGAGCGTTTTAACCTGGACTTTAGGGAGGGCAGGAGAAGAGAGGTTTCAAAGGGTGCCTCCAGCTGCAGCCTGCCAGGGTCACACCGCCAGTGGGCATTGTCCTGACACAGCAGTGAATGAGCAAATGCAGCCTATGTCCAGCTCCAGGTCAATAGCCCTTGGTCGCCCCAAGGAGAGAATGGGAGGGCTTGGCAGCCACAGTAGGCTATCCTTGGCAGCCTGCCCTGGAAAGAGAAGGCAGAGAGCCAGGGCCACCTATGGCCTGGAGATTAGACAAGTTTGGCGTTGCTGGGGTGCTGGAGTGTGGATTCTCTGCAATTGGAAGGAAACTGGGGGCAACCTGCTGATAATAATTACAGTAATAATCATCCCCTGCTGGCACAAAAATAGAGTCTGTACCCTAATTAGATGCTCCCCATCCCCCACCTTTTCCTTCATTAACTACCAAGCAAATCACCTTGCCATACCTTGTCTTTAAAAAACCATGCACAGATGACACTGTGACACTGAGTACAGCAGCTCAAGGGCAAAAGCCATCTGGGTTGCAACCCAGCCATGGTTCTGGAGCTATTTACATATCTGCTGAGACCTCTAAAAAGAGGCCAGGAAAGCCACTTTGCTAAGACATTTCAGGGACATGAACAAGAAGGATGATGTGACACGTTAAACATTTGGTGCAGCCTTTGCCATGTAGTCAACAGTCCAAAAGATGGAAGAGAGCACTTAAAAGTATGTCCCCCAAAACATGACAACAGATTGGTACTGAGGGTTTATATTGGTGCCAGGTGGTGCTCTAAGCACTGGGACTACAGCTGGAATCAAAACAGAAGGCATTGCCTCCCTGTCAGCAGTGTGTCATTCTAGTGGTCAGACAAAAATAATAAAGTTCAGGTAGGGCTAAGCCTTCGGAAGAGGGGCAAATAGAGGCTAGAAGTGAGCCAGTGGGCTTTGGGGAGTGGTTTTTCAGGTAGACACAAAGATGCCATTAACCCCATTTTCCAGAGGAGAAAAGCGAAGTGAGATATGAGTTGCCAGGGGGGAAAACAAAGTGTAAAGAACACAGGAGAGTCATTCCAGAAAGATGTGTAAAGTCGGGGGCATCAAGGACTCAAGGGCCTGCTTAATATTTATCCAGGCAAGGTTAATGGGCTGTGAGGAAACAGGCCAATAATAGAGGGTGCTAGAAGTCCACCCCATCCCCTCCCACAATTCTTTGACCCAATAACCAAGTATCTGCCAAAAAAGAAAAACAACATCTCAGGTTTAAGATCGAAAACAAATGGATTAATTCCTGATTAGAAGGGCAGCTCCCTTTAAGTCCATGCATCGGTTCCTTTGTCTTTAAAATGTGAGTTTAAGAGCTATTGTTGAGGATTCCTTGAACCTCCATAATGCAAGAGACTTTCTCCTGACGGATGAGAATATAAATATTGTAAGTATAATGTCTATCCAAAAGATGTCCTTGAGTATCTGATTAATATTCCCTGTGATAAATTAGAAGCTCAATATTGTTGAAGGTGGAAGACCAGGACCTTGACTTTCACCCTGAAGGGAGTCTGTATTTTTTTTCAAACTACAGAAGTCTTCCTGTGTTGTAGATATGAAATACAGTGTGTCTCTCAGTCCGAGGACTGCCTTATATACATCACTTCACCTCTTAGCATTGCTGATGTACCACAGAGGCCAATGACATTCACCTGACATGTGAAGGCCATGCAAAAGAATGAAGGCAAGAGTAATAGTGACTTATCTGCATGCACTGTCTGTGTTAAACACCGCACCAAGCTCTCGCCATGCAGGATTTCATTTCTTCCTCTCAGCAATCTTATGGACAATGCATGTCCTCTGTATAGAAAAATCAGTGGAGGCTGAAGAAATGGCCCAGTGGTTAAGAGCACTAGCTACTCTTCTAGAGGACCCAGGTTTGGTTCCCAGCACCCACGAGTCAGATAACAATCGCCTGTAACTCCAGTTCCAGGGAATCCAATGCCTTCTTCTGGCCTCCACGGGCATTTCATGGCATAGATGCACTTACATGCAAGCAAAACACTCAGACACATTAAATACAAATAAATAAATGCAAAAAGTATTTTTTAAAGAAAGAGCAATGGGATGGGGCAAGGAAATTTAAATCAATAGCTCAAATGCAAATGATGTTTGACTCAAGCCCAAATCCTTGACAAAACACTCAGACACATTAAATTTACAAATAAATAAATGCAAAAAGTATTTTTTAAAGAAAGAGCAATGGGATGGGGCAAGGAAATTTAAATCAATAGCTCAAATTCAAATGATGTTTGACTCAAGCCCAAATCCTTGACAAAACACTCAGACACATTAAATACAAATAAATAAATGCAAAAAGTATTTTTTAAAGAAAGAGCAATGGGATGGGGCAAGGAAATTTAAATCAATAGCTCAAATTCAAATGATGTTTGACTCAAGCCCAAATCCTTGACAAAACACTCAGACACATTAAATACAAATAAATAAATGCAAAAAGTATTTTTTAAAGAAAGAGCAATGGGATGGGGCAAGGAAATTTAAATCAATAGCTCAAATTCAAATGATGTTTGACTCAAGCCCAAATCCTTGGCTCTTAAATATTTTTTCTTTGCCTTTTGAAATGAGCACATGATTTTTAGGAGAACACATGATCCTTCTCTTACCTCTGCACACCAGCCAAAAGTTGAAATCTACATCCTATTTCACTTTTTTTTAAATTCCCTAAATGTACAGTTGACAGTACCTTAGCTGTCTGCTCTCTCACAGCAAAGAATGCTGAGGTTTTTTTAAAAAACAATAATAATAATAATAATTAATAATAATAATAATAATAATAGTAACTTCCTCTGGGTGCTGAGAGGTAGCTCAGTTGTTAGAGTGCTTGTTTAGCATGCAGAAAGCTCTGGATTTGGTATCCAAAACTATGTAAAACTGGGTGTGGTGGTACAGGCTTGCAATCTCAGCACTGGGAAAGTACAGGCAGGAAAATCTGAAATTCACGGTCATCTTTGGCACAAAGCACATTTTAGGTCAGTATGGGTTACATGAGACACTGTCTCAAAAAACAAAATTACTCAAGAAAAAAGAGAAAATTGTACCTATGGACCAAAATGAAAACTGACTTCATATGCGATTGCTTGTAAAGGAAACCTTGTAGATGAGTGAATGCAATGTGCTCCAGTGGTAGAGGCTGGGAAAATTCAGAAGAAAGTGCAAATCTAGAAGTTGTCGTGTAGTCAGTCTATAGACCCCTGGGGTACACTATGTGACGCACAGACGTGGATACTGTTGCTAGATGAGCGCTCCTGTACTTGGTGATCTTAAAGCTGATTTAATTGATTTGGAAATCCAGGATTTCCCAACTGTTGCTAGATTAGCAGCTTCGTTCTATTTTTCGTATACACAGACTGAGTTAATCATAATCCATGAGTTCATGGCACATAATCAAAACCTGCAAGTCCCTGCTCTTGTTTGATTTGTCCATTCTCTTTTATTTTGTGCAATCCCCAGGTACAACTTTACTGACGTGTTCGGTGTTATATGTACCAAACCCTGTGTGGTTGTGTATTTTCCTGCATATGTGATATTGCATTATAGATTTATTATAGTACTTAGATGTACTGTGGATTTCAGCTCCTGTTTTCTTTGCATCATGTCCTGAAAATTTATCCATGTTCTTGAATGTGTGCCTAGTTCTCTGATCATGTGTCTCTAATGGTATAAAATATCCCCAGTGTGTAACCACCATTGATTTTATATTTGATGCAAGTTTCTGAAGTTATAACCATCACTAAAATAACAAAATCCTTATTTCTGTAGTGTGCTGTGGTTTGTTTAGCTGTGTCAAGAAGTGTTGAAATGAACGAATAACTTCTGAACCTACTAAGAAAATTATGTGTCATATTCCTTTTAGTCTATTGATATGACTAAGCATTAAAAATACAATCTAAGATTGCAGTCATAGATTTTTCAGAGGTTAAACTGTTTTTTTTTATTCCATGATAAACCTGACTTTCTCATGATATGTTAATTTTAGCACATTGTTACATACGATTATTTCATTTTTTGAAGTACATTATTATTTTTATTTTATATATCTGAGTGTATTGTCTGCATGTGTGTAAGTGTACCTGTGTCATGCAATGCCTGTGGAGGTCAGAAGAGGGTGTCAGAGCTCCTGAAACTGAAGTTATAGACGGTTGTCAGCCACCATGTGGATGCTGGGAATTGAACCCACCTAGATCCTCTGCAAGAGCAGCCAGTGCTCTTAAACGCTGAGCCGTCTCTTCAGCCCTGATTAGTTCATATTTTTAAAACTTCTTTACACTTCTCTGTGTGTGTGTGTGTGTGTGTGTGTGTGTGTGTGTGTGTGTACGTCTGTGCTGTGGCACACTTATGGATGCCAGAGGACACCTTGAGGAGGTAATTCCTTCCTTCCACCGTGTGGGTCCTGGGGATTGATCTCAAGTACTCAGTCTTGGTTGAAAGCACCTTTACCCACTGAGCCATCTTGCTCACCGATTAGTTCATATTTTATGTAGGAGTTTTTCATTTATGTTTACTGGTAAAGTGGAGCTTCCATTTCATTACTTGTACGTCATCTCATTTTGAAATCAAAATTATAGTAGGCTTACATAAGAAGTTGTACAGCCTTCCTCTATGGCAATCATTTAGAGATGATGAAAATTGTTTCTTGAGAATTTGATAGGCCTTCTTAAATATGCTGGACTTGAAATGGGAAGGGGAGAATGGTATTCAGAAAAAAAGTCCTACATTATATTTCAATTTATTTAAATGCTATTGTTTTGTTCATGTGCTCTAGCCTCATTTTATACTTTTCTAGAAATTAATGAAGTCTCTCAAGGGCTCCATGAAATGAATACATTACTGTTTGTGACATTTCTTTCTTACACATCTATACAACCCTCTGTGCTCTGTATTTCGTTTACTTGTTGTTGCTAGTGGTGCATATGAGAGCGTGGCGGGGGGTTGTTTTCACATGTGTACATCTGTAGGCCACAGGATGACCTCAGGTGTTATCCGCCTTGTGTTTTGTGACAGAGTCTATCATTGGCCTTATGCTCCCTGATTAAGCTAGGCTGGCTGGCT